GATTCAAAATCCTCTCAAAATATTAATATAAGGAAGTTAAAATAAAGATCAAATTTTCTCCTTCCTTTTGGTTGAACACACCAATTACATCATACGCAATTTGCATTTTGTACAACAGAAAGAACATGGGAAATGAAGGAAAATGTAACCAAGGAAAAAGTATCTTTTACAAATTTACTACACCTAACTGGATGCAACTTCCTCCGAGAAACAGAGTATTGATTGTCCAATGACCATATTCTCAACGAGAGCAACACTAGCAGTCCAGCAAGCATGAGCAAAATTTCAAGTATCCACAAAAATCGCGTTGCATAAATCCGCCTGCAACGAAATGCACTCAATCCACATTCCTGATGAATTTGGACACTACGTCACTACCTATAGAGGAAGTTGGGTTGAATTAACCGACGAATTAACATCGAAACTTTTGAGTTTGCATTTGCCATCACCAACTTAAAATGTGAGAGCCTAATTGTATGTACTAAGAGATATGGTAAAACAATGTTTTTCCACTTGAAATTGTACCTCAAAGCCACACATACTAACCACTGATCATGGATCTCTATCAGCAGGTATAATCTTCAGTAACTTTGCGAGGTCGTAAGACTTGAAGTCCCTCCCATAACATAAGCTTAGATCCAGGGCTGTTTTTCCATCCTGGGATGTAGCAAGAAAAAAACATCAAATTTACATTCAACCAAAGAAAAAGGACATTTTTGCTTCTTGTTTTCCTCTTGCCATGAGCAACAGTGTTAAATATTATGTAGCAAACCAGTAAGAGCTTAGTCAAGTTCGTATCAACTAACTCCAAAATCTTGATTTTGGGATTGAGATTTGTGGTTCAAAACTCTGTAATAGCTCAGCAGCCTCCCAACCCACAAAACAAGGGGAAAAAAACATTATATAGCAAGCGCATGATGCATTATTACAATATTACCCAGGAAAAGAAAGGGAAAAGGGGAACAATATGCAAATTAGAGATGCTATCACACAGTTAACATTAGGTGCAGTTGCTTGCATGCATTAGAATAGTAAAGAAAACCAAACATAAACTTCAAATAAATTAACACAAAACCACCCTAAACAGGCATTTGACAAAAAGATTCCTGAAGAGAAAGATGGCTTAAATTTCATCTTTTCTAGCTTTGCCCTTACCTTGTTTCTTATGGTCTTGTCTGCACCATGTATCAACAAAACTTTTACTATATTTCTATTTCTACTCTGGACAGCAATGTGCAATGGGGTCCATCCATCCTGCAGGAAGAGTTGAAAAAAGAATAAGGAAGAAGGCAATACTCTAAATATGACCAAGAAAATTAATATAATACTCACTATATCAGCAACATTGACATCAACATTGTGCTTGATCAACAATTTCACAGTCTGCATAGCACCAACTTGAACTGCATAATGAAGTGGAGTGGCACCATCCTGCTTTCAGGATAAACTGATAAATTAAAGGTTATTCCAACAAAAACTT